TCACTCTCTCTCTCGCGCTCGCTCTCTCTTTGGGCGTGTTGGAAGCGAGAGAGAGAGAGAGAGAGAGAGAAACCCCCATTTTTTATTTATGTATGTAGGTACATAAATACAGACAGCTAGATATAGATAGAGAAAGAGAAAAAAAACACACACGCTCGAGATTTATATATATATATATATATATAGATATAGATATATATACAAATATATATATATATATATATATATATATTTATATATATATATATATATATTTATATATATATATATATATATATATATATATATATATTTTTATGTTTTTATTTATGTTTTTGTTTATTTTTATTTTTTTATTTTTTTATTTTTATATATATATATATATATATATATATATATATATATATATATATATATATATATATATATATATATATATATATATATATATATATATATATATATATACTTGCTTAGTTATATTAAATGTAAATTACACCCACACCCCTGAGGTATGCTTAAATAACTTTAATGTCTCTGTGGTATCGATAATTACACTCACCCCCTTGAAACGTAGTTATAAACTCTAATGGGATAATGCATTGGATACGTTATTACGATAGAGTTCTAACGGACTATTGGTTTCAGGAAGTGGTGGAGACAACAAAGAGAATTGGGTGATTTAAGAAATATTGGGGGAGCCATGTCACCCCATAACTCCCCATAACTCTATGTTATCTCCACCGCTAGCTAAAAGTAATAGTCCATTAGAACCCTATCGGAATAATGTATCCAATGCATTATCCCGTTAGAGTTTCTAACTACGTTTCAGGAGGTGAGTGTAATTATCGATACCACAGGGACCTTAAAATTATTTAAGCATACCTCAGGGGTGTGGATGTAATTTACCATTCTATTAAAGTTTTTGGTCTTATACAATTCAATTATAGTAAGATTGCACAACTCATGTAGTTCTCTCTTAAATTTTGGGCTCAAAAGATTATTGAATGTAGCCCAGAAATTCACTTTTCTCTGAGCCGTTCGTTCCAGCATAAAAGCCCATGTAATCGGTCAAACAGGAGAACTTTCTAGATTATTCAATCTTGACCGTTACTTCTCTCTGCTTTGGATAGAGTATTGACAAAAATTGAGTGGTTCTAACTAGGGTTCTGGACTTCTGGTGATTGTGCTCTGTATTAGGCTGTTGGAGCCACCGCCGAAAGGTTATGGACGAGAAAACATGACAAGGAAACTGAGCCGTAATAAAAACCGAGCTTCTTCATCTGTTGAAGATTAGTTGTTCAAAGTTTGTGTCTGTTTTGTTTCACAACTTCCGTACTCGGTATGTAACTCTTTCTTTCTTTCGTTTTCTATAATCGTTTATTTCCTTTCCCATAGGTAATCTTTGTAGTTTTGTTTGTCTTCGAGTTCAAATGGGTGCCCGACAGTCCAACTTGTGTATGCAACTGTGTAATAAAGTACCAATGAAGAGATCATCTTCTAACATAAGGCCCAAATTCGGTGCTTTTATATAAATGGGGCTATATTTACGAAAATTCGCAATACCGAGCATAAAATCTTATGATTTACGATTCAATTCATTCATATCTATGTCAATTCAAATGTTAAAATAAATCTTAAATTCAACTAATCGATCAAATTTTACGATTTGTTGGTCCCTATATTACATACATTTCTTTTATTTTTTTTTTAATTTTGGTCCTTAAACAAGAAATGCACCCTAAGTGGGGGTCAATTTGTAATTTCTGAAAATATCACCGCTATACTTATTTCATCTTTCCAGTCGTTTCACCCAATTAGCAAATTTAACACCAAAGTGGATCTCTCTTGCAATATCTGAAATATCCGCCACCAACGCAGTATGCTTCGACTCCTCAACTATAATTATATTGTGTGTCATTCATTTACGAAAATTCGCAATACCGAGTTTAAAATCTTATGATTTACGATTCAAATCTTACGATTCAATTATTCATACCTAAGTCGATTCAAATGTTAAAATA